ACCTGTAATATTACATACATGGTATATACTACGTAACGACAACCTCATCCTCCTTACTTATGTAGGTTAGGTACCTAGGAGTTCTATTCCGGTTCCCAATTACATAAGTCAAAGTCCTAGATTAGCTCAGCAATCGATAGCATGGGTGCCTAGGACTCAGGAGATCTACATGTGAGGTTGGAGAGACTTTCATTTTAAGAAGGGCCATTAGAGCAACATGAAGGTACATGTACGTATGTGCTGTGCCCAGACCTTCAGTGAGGTATTGCGGGGGAGTTCGTATCGACACATCTAGGTGAAGTACCAGCATGCCCCATGGCAAGTATGTAGATATGTACGTACAGACAGTTTGGTGAGTATCAATTTACGCCGACCCTTTGTCATTATTGAAGGGAGGGCGGCCTAGAAGGGTGTGTTTAACGTGTGTTTGAAAGGGCATTCTACATATCAAAGCTTTAGTACTTTCATGTACATACAGTAATACGCACAGGGAATCAATGCTGGCCATAATTCGTTGCGGTATAAGCGATGCAAACGGGACTTATACCACATGTATGGTGTGTAACAACATTCGGTTTTCAGCCCGAATGCTGCATCAATCCCACTACCTATGTATATACCTCCTGCCTGGGTCTTAAACTCAATTCGGAGTTCAATGTTTGTACACTAAGTACTATAGGTACCCACGTGTAGGTAGTTCTAATGATTGTATCATCATGGATACTTAAGTGAGTAAGCAAAGGTATCCGAATTCTCACCATCTACCATCCTCTCATATACAACACCTATCAGCTCAGCTTTCTATCCTTGCACTCTTTTTATATTTGGGCTTCTGTTATGCGACGAAGCACTTTTCATCGATGAATTGTTGACAAGATTTTATTTCGGGACCTAACGAAAGATTCGGCTGTGTCGGTGTGCATCTATGTAGCTTATTTACATTTTAGCTGGTCTTAGGCTCTTAGCCCGGCGCCGTCGTCGTCAGCCCCAGTCCAGAGAGAACAGAACCCAAACAACCCACATTCAACCTCTTGGGCTGCCCGTGATAACTTATTAGGAAGTGAGTTGCAGGGCTGCAGCCAGGAATCCACCTTGATCTTGGGACCTTGCACTTTGAGACCAACACTTCAAAGCCGCTTCTTGTCAAAGCGGGCGGCTGAGCGAGCAAACCCCCCCCCCCCCCCCCCCCTTCTCAGACCCGCCAACACCCTTTACCTACCATCCTTACCGTTCCGTCCCATCTTTACTTACAGGTTATGTATGTACCTTTACAAGGTACCTCAGCCACCATCTCCAATCAGCAGCAGCAGCGAGCGGCGGTAGCAGCAACTAGTAACAGCAACAGCAGTAGCAACAGCAACAGCAACAGCAACAGCAATAGTAGCACAATCCACCTTGGGGAACATTGAACCTTACCTTGCCTACCCTACCTTTCTTTACCTCACCTTACTTTACCTACCCAACCAACCGCACCATCTCCTGCACCCTGCCCTTTACGATCCTTCACCCAATTCTCCGACGACCGCACCGGCCCGTCGCTCCTCCACAACCGAATTGTATTTATTGAATCCGCGTGGGAATACTCGCATCGACTAAAGTCTGATATGTAATGCTGCCCTCTTCATCACGCCCTGGATTGTTCAACGATCGCATTTCGCTAGGAGGTGTCGGCGCGCAGCCGTCGAGACGAGGAATAGATGTGCTTGTCCCACCCTAAACATTTACCTCTTCTCCCACCACCACTACCACGACCGCTACCACAACCACCACCAGCTGGGCGCTCCGCGCGAACATGACGGATCGAGTAGCAGCTTTTGTTCGGGTTTCTGGCCCACCAAATAGCAGTTTTCTGGTTGGCTATCCTGGCATTTCGGCGACGCTGGTGAGTCCATATCTCGTCTCGGTCTCTATTTATTGTGTTCACCAAGCGATGTGGGGGTGAGGGCGACGGTGACGGTGACGGTGACGGTGACCAGTCCCAAACTGGGAGCCTCGCCATGCTTTATGTATCTCGACCAGCTCACACCCGACTGACACATGTGCACAGCCGCGCATCGTAGGCAAAGTCGAAATTAGACCGCAGCAAGGGTTTTCCGCCCCCGTCGCCATTTCTCTGGTACGAATCTGCTTACAGAGGAGGGAAACAATCCACCCGGCCGCCGAAAATGTGGCCAAGCGCCACCTTGGTACGCCTCGACGCGATACAACCGATGTTGTCGGAAAGGAGCTGTTGCTATATCGTTGCGCGACTGGCAGGGAGGCCGAAAACGTCATGGCTATGGACTTGCCGTTCGCTTTGTTCATCCCCTTTGGACGAGGCGGTGAGGAAACCAACAGGAGGATACCGCCAGCATCGCTGCAACTACCGAGCAGGACGGCAGAGACATATTACGAGTTGGTCGTAACGGTGCAACAGGGGCAGAGTGTGCAGAATAAGTATGCATTCCCTGTGCCCTTGCAGAGGTACGATACGTTATCAACCTTTGGAATGTACAACCGGCCCGAGACCAAGATTGCGACTACCGATAACATAGTGACCCTGGGCATTTCACTGCCGAGATGGAGCTACGGACCTATGGACCCGATCACAGTATATATCAAGCTGGCACCAAATCTGGATTGGATAACCAAGGCGAGGAAGGTCACCATACAGAAGATCACGCTTGCAATTGAAGAGGAAATCACCTACAACCCAGAAGGGGACGAGCCGACTAAAAAGGTCAATAGGCTACTGAAGCATGTTCAAAATGTGGGAATGAAACTACCTGAGGCGGGCTATGTGACCAATATGGGACTCATCTTTCCACATAAGGATTTGAGAGACGCCAACGGAATTGTCCGAAGAGGGCAGCCTGCATTTCCCAACTACGAAGTCACGTCATTCACATCAACATCCACACTCTACAAGATTGAGTTTTTCCTCAGCATTAAGGTATGCGCATGCGCGAGGGCGGCGTTCTTGCTCCTTGACTCGTTGCTGACAAGATTGAATGCAGGCACACATGACCTCTGCCCGCGACATTACCCTCCGGCAGCCCATCGTTATCTGCCCGCTTGATCACCAAGCCTGTAAGGAGGAAATGGAAGCGATCGAGCAAGCAGCGAAGGATGCCTCAGCTGTTGACCAAAATAACCCAATGTTGCCGGCGAGGCGCATTGTTTTGGCCACTGACCCCAGTGCGCTATCGACGTTAGGACTTTGTCTCGTAGGAGGACAGAAGAAACTACTAATCGAATGAGGGTGCGCTTGCCAGTTTGACTACGCAATACCGATACTTTGGTCATAGCGTTGCACTTCAGGCACCTCGGCCACTTTAGTATTATGTATATCTTCCAGGCCCCGCTACGTCCGGCTCTGTTGACATGCTCTGGTGGTCGAGAGGCTGCCTCGTCTGAGAGGGGTTTCCTCTTTAGCATTGGCGATCTTGGATTCTTTGCCATAATGCTGGCCCTATTTGATACCGGTGTATCTTGAAGTAATAATATCTCGAAGAAACGGTTCAAAACTCGCGCACAGCTTTCCGAAAGCAAGGAACCCTACGGAACAAGGTCTTCTGGCCGCCTCAAGCTCCCCAAAACTAGCGGAAGGGCCAAAGGAGCCTATGGTCAGCTCTGGTGGCAAGCTATGTTCATGATTGAAGAGCCCATGGAATGTTACTCTGAAAATGAATGGCCATGGCCAAGGAGCATGTTTACGAATTTATATAAGATTCGGGAGTTCGTGGATTCATGCCTTGGTTGGCTGCCTATGCGTTGGGTGTGCTCGAGTATGCTTTGCAGGCGATTCGTGGCGGGTTTCACGGCGTTGGGGGTACGGAATCCACACATGAGACCGGGGTACCAGCGCATTATGTCTCGGGCGTTACGGGGAGCATGGTTGCCGGGGCGGTTTAAATACGACTCCGGCTATAAGTACGAGAGGCAGTGGGTTATATTGTTGGCGGCTGAGCGGACCACACTACGACGACTAGACGGCAGAAGGAAGAAGTACGCAATTTAGGCAATACTGCTACATTTGAAGATACCTATTGAAGGAGACGCCGCACGTATAGGACGATGAGCTGATGGGAAAGGCTGTACGTAATTATTGTATATATATGGCCGGTGCGCTTGATGATCTCAGCCCGGTAGGAGGGGCACCCAGACATGACATGACTGGATTTGGAGAGATGTGGGAACATGAATCATGCTGGAGATATATTCGAAAGAGTAGTACTTCTTGAGATATTGAACTCTGAGAGTCTTCATTTTCTGCCTATGGCTAGTTTACTAGTCTGTTATGCATACCGGTCTTATGCGTCTAGTTCTCTGAAGAAGGCCTGGAAAGCCGGTATCACTCGTCGTTCTGTGGGGAAAAGTCCCTCAGGTGATGATCCGCCACACAGGGCTACGAAACCTCGTATATAATACTTTCTATTTGTGTCCCTTGTTATCTCTGAGTCCTCGCTCTGTACGAAGCAGAACCGTATTAGAAGCAAGAACTTAAAAGGAGGCAGTGCGATAGATGACTAGATTCATAACATGTCTGTCGATCTGCCTTGGCCATGGCATATCCAAAGGTTGGGAGAACTATCAAGAGATAGTGGAGGAAAAATGATGGGGAGGATACTGACCTCCCACAATCAGGTACGTTCTGAGACACTTTGATATAAATAGTTGGTTTTCTTGCCGGTCAACTCCTCCAATATACTAGGTTGCGACGAGTAAAAACAGAGAATAACTACTTATCCAGAAATGCCACCCGACCTAATAAGATTGAAGCTATATGCATAAGGGGAGTGTGTTAAAAGGTACCTATTGCCTATCTAATGATTGATTCAGAGATGTCCATGCACCTAACCCTTAACGCCGTATCTAGCAGATTCCCGGCTGGCTTCAGGAAAATAAAAAGGGGTGAGAGGGGAAAGGGAGGGGCATCACTTCATTCTATCAAGTATCACAAAGTGGGATGGATATGCGCGTAACAAAAAAGAAGAGACAAGAATAAAAGGAAATAATGTTGAGAGCTGCAGGATTCGAACCTGCGCGGTTTCCCATTGCGGTTTGACGGTTTCCCTTGGGGAAGACCTAAACACAACGCCTTAACCACTCGGCCAAACTCCCTATTCGATGAAAAAGTAGATGCTTATGGTAGAATAAGAGGCAAGAGCAAATGGAGGGACGGATTACGGTTGCCATTGGTGAATAGTGCACGGACATGAACATGGATGTGCTTGAAGTACCGAGATACCTACTAGTACATATTCAGATCCTTGCTAGGCATGTTTCACAAGGCTGCCTACGCCGGCTGGCTGGCTGGGATTTCGATGCTACCTATATGCACTTAGGTACAGATCTGTACTATGTAGGTAGATGCAGAATTCACCTGCCAAGTCATCATTGAAAGTGTAATTCATTCCATTCTGCTAGCCCAAATTGCTGTTCAGCAGGTAGTTTTTGTCAATATCATCGGCGTGATAGACTTGGGAGACTAAAAAATTCCAGATTTCTCAATTTGTTAGATTCTGTGGCTAACCCTCACCGCAATGCCTTTCGACGACGAAGACCTCACCCCTGCAGCTCTAACATCTGCTACCGCTGGGTTAGGCGCAGATGACGTACCCTCCCTCGAGGATGATGAGACACAGGATTTCCGACATTTCAACTCCCTCCTCAACAGAAAACAAGCGTCGAGCAAGAATATCCGCCGAGGCGAGAAAGACTTCGAGTCGCATGGCACACGGGCGCAGGAAAGCGTGCTGGAAGCCAGTCGCAATGCCATGCACGATGTGCTGAGCTATACACGGTCCCACAAGCTAAAAGACAGCACCAAGGGATGGTATTTTCCAGATAGGTGGGCTGGTATGCCAGTGGAAGAGGAGAGGGAAGGAGAGCGGGCATCAGGCTTATTCGCGACCGATCGTGTTGTCGCTCTCGAGAATGAGGTTAAGGGCCCCTTAGACCTATCCACGGGGAGGGTCGTTACTGGCGTTGAGAAGCATACGCCTGGATGGCTGAAGACCTGGGTGTTGCCTGAGGAGGCTCTATACCTGCTCGAACGAGGCTCCCTGGATCTATGGTGGCCGGCTCGAGGCATCGAGGATATCTTCCCAGTGAAAAGCGTCAGTGAAAATGGGACAAAGGATCCAGCCAACCTTGCAGTTGAACGAGAGTTTGCCGACCATGAGCTCGGAGTCCCGCTTAGTCTCCAAGCGGCATACGCGCTGTTCATCGGCCAAGACGGGGAAAGAGGAAAAGTCAGCCTGGAGAAGTATCAAGTCTACGCAAATCTACGACGGGTAGGATACAAGGTCCTAAGAGCGGCTTCAATACCCTTACCACCGACAACTCCCAATAAATCACCATCTCACACCCTATGGCAATGGCTGTTCTCCCTTCTACGTTCAAACTCGCCAGAGAATCTACAAAATCACCCTCGCGACGGCCCCCTCGTCAAGCCAGGCCTCTACCGCTCCTACAACGCCATCTACGCCCAACTTGCACTCATTCCGCGCCACAAGCCCACCCCCAAACCCCACCCTTCGAGCCCGCCGCCTCAGGAGCCCTTCAAGATCCACTATCACATCTGGAAGAGTAGCTCGACCTTCACCAAAACCAAGCCACCGCCCCCCGACTTCCGCCTCGCCGTCGTTGATGCGCGGTCTTCGTCAGTCCCAACACTTGAGGAACTGACCGCCCTCCTCGAATCCACGCCCTGGGACCCACCGGAGCCGCAGAAGGAGGGCGACGGCGTCGGCCTGATGTACCGCCGCCTCAAGCACGCGTGGCGGAACGTGGTCGTGGCGGTTGTGGATTGTGGTATCATTAGCTATCTCCGGTTTGGCGAGATGGCGTTTGGTGAGGAGAGGCTGTACGAGAGGGTTAACGCGGGGAAAGGAGGCAAGGGGAAAAGGGGTGGGAGATCGGGTAGAGGTGGGAGAGGGGGTCGTGGCGGCGGCGGCGGTGGTGGTGCGAGAGGAAGAGGAGGTTGAGGATCATCGCCGATACATTTGGCTTTGAGTTTGGATTGGTGAGGCCGTTCAGTCGCAAGGTTTCCATCTTAAACACTATGAAAACGCCACAGGATGAATTTTGTCCATCTGACAGCCGATAGGACGGACAAGAACACCTTCTACCACCAAGAAACGAATTTATCGAACATGCAGATAGAAACCACGTAGAGTGCAAGATCCAGGGCTATACGACTAGTCAATTAAGCCTCTCACCATAAACACCCATTACCCGAGGTTACCCAAGAATGTTACAACATAGAAGGGGCTACGATATAGAAGGGGAACTTGAAGAGAATTAATTGGTGCACCATTCGGAAAATCAATGGCCACTAAACACCAAGACGACAACCTTATACGATAACTTCATACTAACAAGCTATTAGCCCATGCATATGCACATGACTTTATCTATAACACGTCATCTATCGTTCTGAAATGATTTCCGAGGCGTGTAACGTCTTTTGAATTGGACGTCTTGAACCCAATAACCTAACAGCTTTCAGGGAACCATACACTCCATATTTACACAGGTAGACCTTGGTTATAATTCCACCGACTACTTAAGTACGTTTATGATAAGAATGTTACTATCAACGCCCTAAACCCATTGCCATGCAACTATTTAACGTTGAAATACTACCTTCTTTATGCTGCTGTTACACCTATACCTGCGGCTTGACCTGGCACCCTTACCGGACTTTAATGTTAGAGCAAATCTGTCGCCAAGTACCCTAATTCCAAGACCCGAGGAGGACCCATATGACTACTTCTCCAAGTAGCACAGCTAATGTGTCATAACGCCGATTCAAGGCAAATTGAGACACACGATGCGAGACTGGAAAAGGGCCACACCGTTGCATACTTGCAATCGTGATACATCAGGTCGCTATATCAGCCACTTAGACAGGATGGCCGAGAGTGATAAAAGCGGTGAATGTTATACGGAAAGTCTTTGTGCTACTCGAGATACTTACTACGCAGAAGAGTTCCGCGGGATTTATAGGAGGTATGTACATAGGTGCTTGGTTTTACCTAGTTAGGCCCTTGGTTTTGGTTTTAGTGACGGGTTTTGCCTCGCGGCCGCTGAAGAAGACCAGATGCTCCCTGCTCGGGCTTGTATAGTATGTATGTACTTATGTTAGATACCCATACCGAGTTGTCATCATCATGATGATGTTTCGTAATCAGACAAGACTCCCAAATTAGAATTTCGACGTTTGTACGCTAGGTTAGAAGCATCACATGATTGCCTATTGCGTGCAGCAGATTTTCGGCTGTGCGGGTGGCAGAGCCTAACTGCATGTAGGAGGTATGTATTTTTTTTTTCTATCATTATACGGCGTAATTTCTTTTGTTAGGGAACCGACTGGGGTCCGGGTTTGCAGGGATGCTGATCGAATTCTCTCTTTTATCTCCTCTCTGGGTCCATTTCTCAAGTCATCACCAATCAACCAACCAACCAACCAACCAACCAACCAATCAGCCAATTGAACGCCAATTGAACACTTGTCCAACATAGAGATAGGGTTTAACGTTTACGGTCCAACCGTGATTCGGATTGGATCCTAGAAACCACAGGTATGTTGCTCATCTTTTCATTCCTAACCTCGAGTCATCGGGACGAAGCCGGGAGCACGTCCGGAAGTTCCTGAATTGATTGAGGGAATCACGGGTACGGGTGTTAGGGAAACAAGTTCAGAGATAGGCTTTATGCGGTTCGGTGGGAGGGGGTGTTGAGAGTTTATCTTATACGTATACGAGTATGCGTCACCTTTTTAATGTGTGTTTGTCTGTCTGGCTCGGTCAGACCGATCAGAGTCGACTGCACGGAGGTATTTATCATCAATCAACGGGCGATCGTCGCACAGGTCCTAGTTAGTCCTACTAAGCTAGGTAGTCCTAGTCGACCGGAACTAGTTAAGGTAAAGTATCCTTATCAGCAAGACAAGTCTGGTGATAATTATAAGTGATGACATGATGGCGTAAGATCAGGGGCATTTTAGACATCACTGTACCCTATCAGATAACGGTTGCTTCATAGTCAAGACCTTGATGCAGCAGCAGCATACAGCCGTAGCCATCGGGGGGGTTAACTGTGTCCACGTTGCATCCTCTGAGCCATTTGTCAGTATTAAAAACATCCCTAACATCCATCCATATATACTTAACTCTTCTGCGCCTCCCCACTGTATATACTTAACTTGACACTCGAGACTTGCCGCGGCTCTCAGCCAGATAAGATACTTAGCTACGTAGAAATGCACAATCGCCGGTCAAACCATCGTTGGTTTAATATGATAACAACATTCTTAGTTCTGAATGGGGAGGGCTGAGTGGACAGCGTTCAATTAATGCTATAAATACAGGACTGTCTACAGTTACCAGGGTCGGTTCTCGGCCCCATGTGTTTTACATGTGTTGGAGAATATCAATTGCCTGAAGAGTGCACCATCGCATATCCCCTGTGGATCAGAGTAGCATACCTACCTATCCGGACTTGTATGTATGTGTCTACTGGTTATGATATACGAATTCCTGCCGATGCATTATACCAGCGGAACAGCCAACAAATGAACGGCTGGAAGAATGAACGAATAAACGAATGAATGAAGGCTCGCAAGATGAAACTTCTGACAATGACAAGCATCTGAAAGGGGCCGTGTTACACGACAACCTTGTCGCCTTGTCGCAGCAATCTACGGCTTACATACCACCTCAGTAGGCCTAACTACATAGTATTGGAACTAACATGAACCTAACCTACATACATACATGGACCTACCTCCTAGGTATTAATCATTAATCATTACAGCAGGCCCCGCCTTGCCTACTTACAGTATGTACATACAAGCCTACTGGAAGCCTACAAGCCCAACTCGGGAAGAATGCCGCTATCAAACAAGTTCTCGCCAACTGTCCAACATAGCCAACAACCAACCAACCACGCGGCTTCTTATACCTGTGCATTTCAACCAACTCGTCACCGTGACGTGACTTCGGTTAGGAACTAGCAATGTCGCTTGACTGTCTTGGAACTTCTGAACCAGAAAAGGAACATTATTAGACTTGGAGGGCATAAGACAGGCTGATATTCATGTTAGCCCAGTCGCA